GCGCACAGAAGGAACTGGGGAAAACAGATTTCTTACCAGGGTTACTCCATGTAAATTACTGTGTGGAGCAAGAACAGAAGATAGATCTAAGAGATAATGAGTTCTTGATCGTTGGCTAATAGAACCAAAATTTTCCATGAATCCCTTGGTTCAAGACACACACAGAGAGAGAGAGAGAGAGAGAGAGAGAGAGAGAGAGAGAGAGAGAGAGAGACATGCACACAATATCCGGATAGAATGACAAATATTCAACAACCAAAAACTTTTTATGTATTTTATTATATAGAACATTTTTTAAATTCAAATTTATTTTGATTGTGTTTCCCCCTCCCTCAAGTCCTTCCAGATCCTCTCCCATTCCCTACACATCCAACTTAAAGTTGTTTCTCAATAAACAAAAAGAAAATATAACACCAAAACCCATAAAGCAACACTCTAAAATAAACTGTCGAGTCCATTGTATGTTGGTCAACTGCTCCTGGTTCACATACTCTGTATATTCAAGAAAATTTATTTTTTTCCTCTCACAAACAGGCTTAAATGACAGTTCCGTGGGTAACCTTTTGTCTAGCAGCTAGGTTTTCATTCATGTATGCATGTATTTAATCATTTCTAAATATGACAAAATAATATCTAATAAGATAGAACAAAACTATCACATCAAAGTTGGATAAGATAAACCAATAGAAGAAAAAGGGCCAAGGAAAAGGCGCAAGAATCAGAGATCCACTCGTTCACACACTCAGTAATTCCATAAAAGCATTAAACTGGAAGTCATAATGTAAATGCAAAGGACCTGGGGAAGACCATGAATGCTCTGTGCATTCTGCTTCAGTCTCTGGGAGTTCATATGAGCTCTGCTCATGGTGATTGAGAGGGCCTTGTTTTCTTGGTGTCCTTCATTCCTTTTGGCTCTTACTGTCTTTCTGCCTCTTCTTTAGTGCCTCTTCTTAGTTTCCCTAAGCTCTGAAAGGAAGGAATTGATGAAGACACCCCAGTTAAGACTGGGTGATTGAAGGATTCTCACTCTGCATAGTGTATGGCTGTGGGTCTCTGTATTTGTTCTTATCGGCTACAGGATGATGGCTGAGCAAGACTCTGATCTATGAGTATAGCAGAACCCCTTTAGGGAGTCGTTTTATCACTCCTTTTTGTTTTGTTTTGTTTTTCAGAGGAGTTTGGGGGTTTTATTTTTCTTTTTGTTTTGATTTGTTTTTTAGACAGGTATTATTTGGTTTTACCCTAAGTCTCTTGGCTATCTACTCTCAGGTTCTTGGTCAACTAAGGAATGTATGGATTGGGTATGGATTCCATCTCATCGAGTGGGCCTTAAGTCAAACCATTTGTTGCTTGGCCACTCTCACCAGTTTTACGTTACCATTGCCTTAACATATCTTAGAGGTAGTACACCATTGTGGATAAAGGCTTTGAGGATATCTTGGTGCTGGTGCTTACATTTCTCCTTACACAGTGTGCCAGGTTTGGTTTTTTTTTATACCAAAGACACTGGAACATAGTGGTGAAGGTTCTATGTAGGCAACAATTCAACACATCCGTATTCAATGAGTTTTGTGGGTATTATCTTCAGCAACAGAGCCTTGCTATCAGTTTATGAAGAGCAACTTATAGTCTTAGCAACAGCCTATCTTGTTTGGAAATTCCCATGGGAACTCTTTGACCAACGATGCAATTAGATGTAACAAAATTCTGGTACTGGAAGCTTTATTTGGTGGCAATAGATGGCAGTTGGGATTCTGTCTCTCCCAATTATTTGACAGTTTCATTGAGGTCACCTTCATAAATGTATATATTTTAGGGAGTTTTGACTGATTTAGGTTTCCATACTACTCTTCAAATGTCACTTAATTTTAGCTGTCTCTCTATGTATCCCCTGTCACAACTCTCCCTTCCTTCTCCCTCCCTACTTGACCCCCTCGTTTCTGTCCCAACTTCCATTCATATCTGTATATTTTATTTCCCTTTCCTAAAGAGATGGACCTGTTCCCACTAGTCCCTTACTCTATACATACCCTTTAAGAGCCTATGGATTTTTAATTTGATTATTATTGACTTATGAGCTGTGTACATAGTATTAAGATCCTGTTTTCTAATTTTCTGAACAATTTGATTTTGATTTTGCACACTTCTCACAACATGCTTGATGCACAGGCAGTTAGTAGCTCCATCCTCTTTGTGAGAAAATAAAACAGAGACATACAAAGTTGTTCCGTTCCTTAAGATAAAACTGTAAGACAATAAGCAGACAAGGCAAACCTTGGAAAGGGGCTTTTTGTTGCTCCTCACAGCTTATCATGAGACCCTTTGAGACATTCATTTAGAGTTTCCAAAAGCAAGTTGACTTTGCACAAGTATTCATTTCACTGGTAGGTAAGTATCCCCAATCACCTGATATAAGAAAAGTTTTGTAATAACATTGCAATTTTATTTCTATAGCTATCTATTCTCTTTTATCTTCTAAGGTAAAGAGGAACATATCCAGCTGTTGTATCCCTACAATGCCTATAAAATAGGAAGCCATTTCTTTTGCATTCAGCAGGGACTCTCACTGTGACTGTACATGAGATTTTAACAGCAGTCATGGTAATCACAGCACTAGTAATTATAGTGATAGGTAGTATTTATTTAAGTCTTTGACTATGGCAGAGAGCTTTGTTTCACATGATTTTTTTCTTGTAATTTTTCTTCCAGGCATTTTCCCACATACTCTTCTCTCGGTGTAGATAAAATATTCACATTTAACAAAGGAGAAAGCTGACTCATGGATAGCTTTTCCTTTTGTCATATAATTATTAAGCAATTAATTCAGCAGGGCTACCCAGCAGGTACATTCTATAACCCACACTTCAACTTGACTTCATATGTTTATGTATATATATATATATATATATATATATATATATATATTACATATATAAAGTCAAAGAAGACAAACATTAAAATAAAAATTAATACTCAAGATTCGTGAAGACTTTCAATATGTTTAAACATAAGAAATGAAAAGAAAATTTTGTATTTGAGGAATTTTTTAGAAAGAGAAGCACTCGTGGGATTAATTCACATCCACATAGCTTGTACTTATGATGGGAATCTGCAAAGTAGAAACAGGAACTATTTCTTGTTTATCAGTTTAGCAGTTCTTGGTAAAAGAAGTGTTGAAGAAAGACTGACATGTCACAAGGATAGATTTCAGTTGTTTTGTGATACCAACAACCATGTTCTGTGCCAAAAGAGAGTCCCTCTCTTCCTCTCTCTGTCATTACCTCACTCTATTTCCTCCCTTCTGCTTTCACAGCACTTTAGTATTTTAATAATAGCTTGAAAAGCTGAATCTATTTGCTCTATACAGTAAGTGCTACAATTTAGCTGATTCCAAAATAGAATATTCTAATTAAGTGAGAAATGGTGGATTACATAAAAATTCTAACTTTGTGAGGGATAGAAGTCCAAACAAATGCATCGAATTATACCAAAATACCAAGATTTTCCTTTGTGCATATAAACATCATGCTAATACAAAGCAAAAAATATTAAATAAAAATGTCTCACAAATCCAAAAAAAAAGTCTCTTACTTTCAGAAACTTCTATGATCATTTTTCTTCTGTTCATATTGAGTTTTTAAAAATGCATTCTGTTTTGCTGCAAGAAAAGCATGGTTGTCTCTGTTGTTTGTTTAGGTACTAGGAATTGGACCTGAGCCTTGAACAAGAACTCTACCACTGAGTTATAGCCTCAGACCAATCATGTTCTCTTTACCATGATTATTATACACATTATTGGTTATTTTCTAATATCATCTTGAGTAAATATTAAAATTAGTCTTTTGATGAAATTTTTAATGTTATAATACACATACATTTTGAATATTTTGTTGGGGTAAAAAAATAATAAGTGCTATTATGGGGTCATTTGGTGTTTATTGCCAAATTGTTATAATATTATGTTTCCAAAAATAGAATGTAAGGATTTCACTAGTCTTCCCCTATATGAAATTTGGTTAACTATTGTCAAATTATACCTTCTTGATTTAATGCATTTCTGTTACTTGTAAGTTAAGTTTCTTTTATAAATGACTTTATTCTGACACTTCATTTCATTGCCTGTTTATATTTCTCTATTCTTGCACCTATACCTTCCCCCCTCCACACTGTATTAAGCATAAATTTCTTAACACTTTAATTCTACCTTAATGTGTAGATCTCGCCAATATGTGGAAGTGGTAGCCTGATATGCTTCCATATGTACATGACCTTGGGTGACTTCTTTCCAATGAAGAAATGGCTGATTGGATTGCACTCAACTGTCAAAAACAAACAAAGAAAAACACTTCAGGTTTTTTTTTTTTGGTTTAGAAAGAGTTTTATATCTTGCCTTGTATTCGAATATTAAGGTAGAGGATCTTTAAAATATTTTAATCCTTCAGAAACTGTGTGGTAACAGTCCTCTTTTTGTTCATCATTTTCAGTATGCAGAGTTTGTTAAATGCCAGTAGATGGCACTAATTACATAAACAATTCAACAAGTTAATGAAGGGAGGAAATGCATGTTTTGTGGCAGATAGCGGTAGATGTGTGACAAATGATTTGGCTCTGGATCTTCTTTGAGACTATTCTGCAGATGATACCAGAAACGTCCACATGATTTTGCTCTATGTCACATTCTAAGCAATTACAAATGAGTCTTTTATAATTTATTCTTTCCTATGATTAAAAAACTAAGCTTGTTTTATTACCAACTTATTGGTACTAAATTGAATTACCTGAACGGAGTGAATGCTTAAGATCCTGCATTTGAAATCTCATCATGGAAAGCATGTTAATTTACATCATGATAGCTGATTGACTCACGTGACAGGTGGCTTGAGGAGACATGCTGTGACCTGTAGAATCAATAACTATTTATGAAATATTTAGAGTTATCCACCTAGGAATATCGCTGGATGAAAAGTGACATTAATTTTTTTTTCTATGCACACCTATAGCAGTTGGCCAAAGACCTCCGCCAATGGCAGGTCAAGGTGGACGTGGCGAATGATTTGGCACTGAAACTTCTTCGGGACTATTCTGCAGATGATACCAGAAAAGTACACATGATAACAGAGAATATCAATGCTTCCTGGGGAAATATTCATAAAAGGTAAGAACTACTTTGTATCTCAAACAATTTGTCAACTGTAATAAAGGAGCAGTTACCCCGCCTGGACAGGACTGCTCTGTTAAACTACAGTTGGGGATAATACGAGATGACAAACGCTAATTCAGCTCAAAAGCTTGGCTTTCCTGTCCTGTTTTAATGAGGAGAAGATTGGCATTTGGTGAAGTGAAATTATTTGCCCCCAATAACAAAGACAATGGTGGAGCTAAGCAATTAATCAAAAAGCAAACCAGAGAAGAGCAATGGAAGTGGCTGGGGTCAAGCGCCCTCTGGAGGTCATATGTTAAGTGAGCTGCTTCCTCCACTTTGGTCCCAGCTTTGAATGTTTCAACCTCCTTCCTATAATACCAACCAATTTTGAACGGAGTGGTTGATCCATTGATGGAATAAGCAACTCTCAATGACTTGATTCGCCAGCTACCAACGAAGACTTGATATGCAAAGTATAACAAAATTTAACTGCTCTTAGAGGCACTACCTCTTCACATTAGGTCCCATCTTCTTATAAACTATTTTAACCCTGTTGGGCTTTTTTACATTGATGCATACTCTATTAATAAAACATGAATCTCATAATTAATTATTTTTATTTGTCTCACAAATGAGTCTAAAGACAATGAGGGCTAAAACTGTCCCCTTTCTTTGACACAACCGCTCATGCTAAAGCAGATTATATAATAAGGAGTTGGTAAATAATGATTCTTTTTGCACAAAGTTTTACCTTGAGTGTGCTACTATAGATTAATTATTGTTGGGCTCTTCTTTTTAATTGTGCATGCAAACAGAGGCAAAAAAAAAATTGTACCTGTATAATGAGGAGCAGGATAACAGAGAAAAGTAAATCCCATGAATTACCAGAAAAGTCAGTTAGGCAATTCTAATTTGGAGAAAAATCTTAGCATGGAGGGGAAAAATAAAATAGATTTTAAACTACGAGAAAAAAAAAGTCTTAGGAGTAATGAGCTATTTATATGCAAACCTGAACTAGGGATGGAAAGTGAAAATTCCTAGGGAGTTTGATTAAGCTCGTGACCATAGAAATAAAGCACTGAATTCCAGAAAGAAGATTCAATCTAAAGTTGAAAAGTTACACTGGAACCCTATCCAAAGGACCCCAGTGAAGAAAGAACACGTTTTAAAAAGGGACCAATACTAGGGGAAAACTTCGGCCTAGTTCCTCTTTCCTCTCAGGACAGGGTCTAGGGTCAGTCTTCTGCAAGTGCCGATGTGTTAACTGTTTTGTTAACAAGGACATAGTAGGTTTGGAAAGAAGTATCCAAATAAAACTAACTGATACTAAAATGTTAACCATTAGATCCCCACAGGAAACACTGAGGCTTGTCAAACAGGGAAGATCTCAAACAGACGTTTCTTTGGGTAAGGGAGTTAAGATCAAGTAGTAATGTGGTGAATTTATGGGATATAAACTATGAATGGATGAGGAGGAAAGCTTCTTGCTCATTAAAAAATAGAGATTTGGGAGTTGGTCTAGTCTATTTACACTGTGATTTTTCATGGGCCCTTCTTTTCATAATTTCATGATCCATAATGTTGTAGTTGTCTCAGGTCTTTCTTCACGTTAGAAAAGTCTTTGGATTCTTTGGGAAAATGGCTTTTGATTCTGGTTTGTAGGCTTCATTCCTTAAAAACTCCATACTTACGTTGGGCGGTAGTGGTGCATGCCTTTAATCCCAGCCCTCGGGAGGCAGAAGCAGGAGGATCTCTGTGAGTTTGAGGCCAGCATGGTCTACAAGAGCGAGTTCCAAGATAGGCTCCAAAGCTACAGAGAAACCCTGTCTTTAAACTCCCTCTCCAAAAACAACAACTAGAAAATAAAAAAAACACACAAAAAAACAATAAACAAAATTCTACCTACTTAGGTCAGGCAGTAGTGGCACATGCCTTTAATCCAGCACTCAGGAGGCAGAGTCAGGTGGATTTCTGTGAGTTCGAGGCCAGCTTGGTCTACAAAACAAGTTTCAGGACTGCATGTTACACAGAGAAACCCTGTCTCAAAAACAAAATTAAAACACTGCCTACTTAGGGAGGAACAAATTACTTACCCAATGAGTAAATAACAAATTCAATGTCTTCATCTCTGTTTATATTCTCAGCCCATGCACAATCTACAGTTCACCAAGCTACTTTTGATGAATGTCTCAAGTATCTTCCCTGCTTTTATCTCCAGCTACTTATACCCCTTGTGATGTGTATCGATCTGTGTGTTTTCAGTCATATGATGATGACGTCCAATCAATATTTTCAACTGAAGACACTCTTCAATTGCTGACCAGTATGTCCTACTGTTTACTTTCTGTTTTAATTTCCCACAGGAACTTAAAATTGAATAGATCCAAAACTGAACTCGTCTTTCCTCTACACCAAGCTTTTTCTCCAAATGGAACTATTTCCCCCTATGATTCCTAACCAACGAGCACTGCACCTCATTCAGCTGTTTGTTTTAGGAATCTAGGAGACACACTCGATCCCTCCCACTACAAATATCATTGTTAAGCTTTAGGAAAACTATTTGCTATCTATATATCTTTCAAAGCCAGTCTCCTTTCTCGGTCTCTTCTCCTCTACCACGATGTCTTGTTTAAATTGTGAAAATGACCATACTTGATTCACTTCTAGTCCTCCTCCTTTCTAACCCCTTCTCTATGTAGACTCTGGGGTGTTTGTTATTCACTCATTGAATTCCTGTAGTTCACTTGCCTCCCTATTTTAATGACATTTCTAATTTATTCATTGCTTTTTTTTCCATTCTGAAAATGCAATACAAATTCTTGTGCATGCTAGACATATACTCTTCCCATAAGCTACATACCCAGCCCATATTTGTTGATTTTAAAGCACAGTCTATGCTGTGTTGTAAGATTTGGCCTTGTCTCAAAATTCTAGCCTAATTGATTGCTCTACTTGGCTCCTTCTCCACCTGGCCTCACACAACTGATGGTGACCTATTTTCACTTCCTTTTAGCTATGCTTTCTCTGTTACCTGCTGACTGGTACACTTTCTTCAGTCTTTGGGTGTTTATGTTCTGCTCATTATCAAGGTCTTAGTTTCAATGCTAATTGCTTCAGGAAGTCTTCTATGTCAATCATAAAACCCCACGCTATTTTAGTGTTTATCTCATGACACTATGTTTCAGTGTTTGCGGGGTTTTGCTTTCTGAGAATGTTGACTCCTTATTGAAAGCACATCAGCAGCTGTCCACCATCACATCACCAAGCACTTAGCTCAGCACACAATGACTACGCCTGAAACCTGTTCTGATTACATAGGTAAATGAAAAAAGCACTGGTGAGCCCACAAGGTTCTAAATGAGAATGCCAAGTCCAAGGTCACACAGATGGCCCTCATTAAATTTAGTGGCTCTCCAAACAAAACAAAAATAAATGAAGATGGAAAGGGGAACGGCAGGGAAGAGAGATGGTTGACAGAGGTAGATAAGAGGTGTCAGGACGTCAGAGTAACCAGAACACATCATATAAAGTGTGAAAATATAAACAAATTAAATAAAAAAAATTCAACTGTTCCCTTATGACAGTAACTCAACAATGAAATAAACCACATCTATTGAATTTGCTTTTCGGTTCCAAACTGTAATACATTTATCAGAAGTTTATCAGAGGTCAATTGATGTCTTATAGTGAGGGTGTCAGAAGTAGGCAAGTACTGAAATGGATTCAGTGGTTCAGCACTATCAGCTTCCTAGCATCTCCTCAGAAATGCATACTCCGGCAGGAAGAATAGGAATGAGAGGACATAGTGCTTAAGAAAGCAATAATTCTTCAAAAACTTAATGGCTAACACTGTGCTATGGAATCATGCCCTATGGCTGAGAAGGTGGAGTTTGACCCGTCAATAGAGAATATCTGCCACATTGAGGATGGAAACATTAAGTTTCTTGAAGAATTACCATGTAAGTGGTGGACTGGTAGGGGGTTAAAGTGACAAGGGGCCAATTGAGCATGATGATTTCTCTGATCTTTATGACAGATTCTGTGATTCTCCGTTGACTCCTAATCCTTCATATAGAAACCTACACTGTTAATTCACTAAAGTGGGATTTTTCCAGCTTCTTTATGTTGGCATTTAATGCTATGAACTTTCCTCTTAACACAGGCTTCACCGTGTCCCATAAATTTGGGTATGTTGTGTGGTCATTTTCATTGAATTTTAGGAAGTCTTTAATTTCTCCCTTTATTTCTTCCTTGACTTATTGATAACTCCGGTGAGCACTGTTTAATTTCCATCTGTTTGTGGGCTTTCTGGATTTAGTGTTGCTGTTGAATTCTAGTTTTAAGCCATGGTGATCTGATAAGATATACGGGGTTATTCCAATTTTTTGTGTCTTTTGAGGTTTGCTTTGTTACCTAGTATGTGGTCAATTTGTGAGAAGGTTCCATGAGGTATTAAGCAGAAGGAATACTCTTTTATGTTTGGATGGAATGTTCTATAGATGTCTGTTAAGTCTACTTGAGTCATAATGTCTGCTATTTCCCTTATTTCTCTCTTCAATTCTTTTGTCTGACTGACCTGTCCAGTGGTAAGAGTGGAGTGTTGAAGTCTCCCACTATAAGTGTGTGGGGTTTAATGTATGATTTAAGCTTCAGAAGTGTTTCTTTTATATATTAGGGTGCCCTTGTATTTGGGGTATAAATATTCAGTATTGAGATTTCCTCTTGATGGATTTTTCCTGTGACTAATATGAAATGTCCTTCTTTTTCTCTTTTGATTGATTTTCATTTGAAGTCTATTTTGTTAGATATTAGGACAGCTACAGCAGCTTGTTTCTTAGGTCCATTTGATTGGAATTTTTTTTCCCAACCCTTTACTCTGTCTTTGAGGTTGAAGTGTGTTTCTTGTATGCAGCAAATTCTGTTATCGTGCCCAATCTGTTAACCCAAAGGAGATCAAGGGGATACAAATCAGAAAAGAAGTCAAACTCTCACTATTTGCTGATGATATGATA